AAAAGAAAAAAAGAAAGAAAAAAAAGGAAATCAAAATGAAAAAAAAGAGAGCAAGGAAGAAGTATAGGAGGTGCAATGAGACGTTTAAATGATTGAAATTTTAGATGAAAGTAAAAGAGAAAGAAGAAAAAAAATAAATAAATTGCATCCTTGTTCAATCGGACCATTAATGAATTTCTAAGGTTTATGAATTATTTGAAGTTGCATTTTTTTTTCTGCAACGATTAATTGTTACGTTTGTTTTTATTTTATTTTTTTTCTTTTTGTTTTTTGTTTTGAACTTTTTATACCTTTTTAATGGTTTATTTGACCGAAATAAGGCGCAAATATACGAGGTCAAAAAAAAAAAGATTTTGGAGGCAAAGTTGGAACATGATTTCAAGGAGAAACGATCTAATTTATTGGGCACATTAACAAGATGGAGTAAGGCAATCATCCGACAATCGCCGATCATTTGTTTCTATTAACGACGTGAATAAATCAATTCAACGCTATCTGACCAATGTTGCCATTTTTGATAATATCCAAATTTGCCAACCAAAATGTGACAACAGGGATGAACGATAAATGCCTTACACTTCAGTATCATTGTGAAACGAACTGTTTTTTTTTTTTTCCGGAACACTTCCTATCCATTTTTTCCATTTCCATTTTATTTAGCAATTGGCTTCTTAAAAGTGATATGTCTTTTTTTCCTGATAAAAAAAATGTCTCATTTTTTCCTACCATTTCTATAATCTTTTTAGCTAAACTGATAAAAAAACTTTTAGAGAACTTTCAGGATATGATCGTGAATTCTGAGATGTTGTAAGGAATTTACAAACTTTGAAAATTTCATATCTGACTTCTTTTTTTTATCACTTTAAAGATCTTCCGATTTTCTTTGATCGGATCTGGTCTATTCCAAATGTCTAGAGACTCTTTTCTTCTTCATCTTATATAAGCCTTCCATTCCCAGATGAATCCTCCTTCATAGCTAATTTCATTTCAATTCCTTCCTCTTGAAACCTTTTTTCTTATAGTAAGAGTTGTTTTTAAAAATGAATTAATCATTAAATGGCGAAAAAAAAAGATAAATGAATGGAAATCATCTCTAGTTGATCATTTAGTTACAACATTTCTTCTAATGGTTGTATGTCATGGCCATGAATATCAAATTTGGAAAATGATTTATGGACCCAACATTCAATCATTTGATTTAATCCAAATATTTTTGTTGAAATATACATCGACAAATACTCCTTGAAAGTTCTTTTTACTTTTGCCTAATATGATTCTTGTACTTCCGTGGATTTCCCGGTAAAACATTTTGGACGGTATAAACAATTCGTTATTCATTATCTTCGTTCCTTTCTTTGTTTAATTATTGACTAATACTCATAAGTTGTACTTTCTGCTGAAATCCAGATTTTACTTCCACCACTTTTAATTTACCTGTTGCATTTATTTTTTAGAAAATGAACTCAAAAATTATATTTTATTTAACTATTTCCGCTGATAAGTCGTTGTCTTGGCATATCAATTATGAATGGTTTCATTTTATTATTTGAATAGCACTTATCATCCTGTTTAATTAACAATTACTAATTATTGTCAGATATATAATAAGCATGCTAATTAGAACATTAAAAGACGATATAAAATGCATTAAATTCTGGTTAACCCTTTCTTTTCTTTTCTTACACAAAAAATGTTTGTCTTTTATAGGAAAAACTTGTTCTTGCGGAAATGATTTAAGGATTTAGACGATAAGTTTCCGAGTATTACGGTAGTGGCTGTTAAGAGATTTGCAGTGAACAGAGAGAGGATGAGAAAAGGGAAAATGAGAGGAAGAGTTGAGGGAAATGATCTGGTGATATGCGGCGGATCCCAGTACTATTATTGCTGTGTTGCTGGTTAGTGAGAGTGTTTGTTAAGAAAGTTTTGTTTTGTTGTTTTGTTTTTGTTTTTTTTCTTTTTGTTTCAATTTAAAGAGAGAAGGCTTCCTCTACATTATTACTCTTAATCGTTTCATTTTTCATTTACATTTCTGGCATTTCATATATCAAATTTCAATTGCTTATTAGGAAGAAATTTTTTTTTAAAAGAAAAACTCAATGTTCCCCTGCCACACATTTTACAAGTTTTATGACTGATCACAAAAACTTTCAAATTTTGATATTGAAATGCAATTGGTTTCAATGGCTATAAGACAGGTTACATTAAGTCGTGTAATGCCAAGAAATTGAAGTATCTGAAATGGACTCAACGACAAAAAAAAAAAAAAAACAAAAAAAGGAGAGAAATTGATTGATGATTTCGCGTTTTCGGTTTTGTGCTAAATGTATGGATATGTATATGTATACATACATTGTTGTCTTCTTCCATTCTTTCTACTCTGTTTTTGGGGGGTCTCGAAGAAACTGAGTCCTTCTAAGTGTATGTATATGGGTGTGCATGTGTGTATGTGTCTGTCTGTGAGTGGGCGGATGGGTGTAGGTACGTGCGGGGGAAGGGGTCAGGAATATTGAGGTAGGAGGAAGGGTGGAGGGGAACGAAGGGAATCAGTGCTTTGAATGTGGCGCTTTTTTAATTGATGGGAGTTTAGAGGATGTAAGTCAGTGAGGGGAACGAAAAGGAATGAGGCGGAAGGAAGAAGGCAACGTATCAGTTCTCGGAGAGGAGAGAAGAAGGAAATGTTCGAATGTGGCAGTAGTCGGGGTTTTAGCCCACTCAGTGGGTTTTGAAGTAGCCGCCATCAGAGGGATGCCGACAACTTCTGACAGATGACTGAGAGGGAGAGGCCTCTTCCATCCTACCCTTCGCAATTCCCACTCTTCGATGCTCCCGACACCAATACCCTAATTTCACTTACAAAACTTTACGCTTCTCTCCAGTGTACTTCCCTCACCTTCTGTCTCCAATGATCGAGGGACTTAGCCAATATGACTCACTGATCCGTCATCCATCCTTTAATGGCTGGACGACATTTAAGGAGCGACCAGGCAGTCCTTATCCGCCACTGATAACACTGCTACTTATGATAAAAACAACGAAGTGGACTGATTCACCAACTCATTCATTGATGGGTTAATCAATCGACTAACCGAGTGACTGACAACTAACTAATTATTCGAGTGCAGGATAGTTACAACGATGTTGCAATCTCAAACACTCAGTAAATGAACTCAGCCTTAAGTCATGTAATATCGGTATACAACTTGTGAATATCTACCACTCCGTCTCTTTTTCTCCTCTCTCCCTTCTTCTCTCTCTCTCTTTTCTCTTCTTATATATATATATATATATATATATATATATATATATATATATATATATATATATATATATATATATAATAA